CCGTCTGATGAGCATAGTACTAGATATGGGAAAGGAAAAGCCTCGAATAGTAATATCGTATCCGCCACAAGCACATTGCGTAAAAGCTAAGAAAGAAGAGTTCTAGCATAAAGTTGTTGACTGCATTAGCGTAATGCCCCAAGACAAGATGCTAACTAATTCAGACGGATCTTAATGGTATGTAAGAGAGCGACGATGTAGCCTTCAGAGTCATGGAAACCGCGGACACGACACGCGTAACGATAAGGGCAATGGCAATAGTAAACACACACTTCATCAACAAGACCACTCACCTTGTCAGCTAAGCCGTAGAAACTGCAGATCGCAGATAGACTTCTGGACGGTGCGGCAGAATGAGCTCATGTTAGTGAAGGACGGCACAGTCATCTCCGGGGAGTCTGCTACCTTGCACAGGCCGCTACTTCTAGACTTGAACATCTCCAAAGATAGAAGAAGAAAAGCAATGACTGAGGGTAGAGAGCGGAGGCGGAAAATCAAGGTAAACCCTAAAGTCAAAGCAGCAAAGGAGTCAGCCCTGCCAAATGGTAGAAGAACTAGAACCTTTGTGGAATTTCCAAAGAACAACCTTCACCAGCGGCAAGCAACTTACTATACGATACGCACGAAACCGGAAAGGCAGAAATTTGAAAAGTGGTGAAATGCACCGTATAAGAGTTGATCAAGAAGAAGAAGATGACGTAGGTATGGCAGAAGTCGGGAGTAAAAGATGCGCGTCAAATCGGAATGCAAAGCGCGCAGCTAAGAAAAGTTTCAAGGCAAAGGAAGCTTATATGGCAGATGTTTACAAGGAGCTGCACACTCTCGAAGGCGAACGAGAGATATACCAATTGCAAAGGAAGAGGGAACACACAAGACATGGATCACATCTTCGTCAAGGATGTGAAGGGAAAAATTCCAAGAAAAACAGAAGAGGTAAGCGCACGATGGTAAAACCACTTTAAAGCAATAGCATTTACAAGCTAAGAAAAGTCAACCATGATGTAGCTTGAAATGTACGGATCGGTAACGAGAATCACAGAGAAAAAAGTCCGCAGCATTATAACGAAGACGAAGAACGACTTGACAACTTAATTTAAGAGAATGCCGAATATAGTAGCCTGGTATTAAAGCAGACTAGCATAAAAGCGCAACGTTACTAATGTGGAAGAACAAAGGGAACAAACAGATTGCTTTACGTACCGTCTTAACGTCTCATGAGTCACACGCTGAAGATATTCGAAAGATTATTGGAGGCAAAACTTTAGTACCATAGAGCACACAGTCAACGTAAACTCTGTACTATGCCATACACACAGCCAAAATAATGACCGAACAAAGCAGGAAAAGGCGATAAGCGTTCCTAAATCTCGAATGGAGTTCGACAAGGTTCTACACGCGATGATATGTAGGCATTGCCTAGAATGATGACAAAGGACTTCGGGCGATGAAACTAAATAATCTACAAAGATGCCACTAGCCACGTTTAAGCAACAGCAGGACCGTCAAAAGAATTTTTGATATACGTTGAAGTACATCAGCGTTTCGTACTCTTACCGCTCCTGTTCATTACCGTGATGTATGCGATGGTCAAAGACAATTTTTGTGCGCACTCATGTATGAGAATAATGTAGTCTACTAGCGAAAAGGCAAGGCAAGAACTTCAGATGAATGTGGAGAAGTAAAAACATTAGTTAAAGTGCAGATTGAAGCTGAACACAATGTCAATCATACAGACCACCCTTTCAATAACCCTTTCAATACCTGGAAAACCTTATACTCGCATATGGCAGTTTCCCCTACAAAGTACTCAGTAAAGTGAATGCAGTTAGGAGTGAGAGGGGAAGTTATAGGAGACCTGTGTGATAGATGGATTCCGTGAGACCTCAAATCGCTGATATACCGGTGCAGTACGTAGTTGGACCAGCGGCGCATGTGGGAGCAAATGCTGGCCGCGTACCGCAAAGGAGAGGAAGATTGGCTAAAAAGAATGCTGAGATGAGCTACAGGCACTATCATGGAAGACCACAACACACACAGCAACCGATGGTGAAGGGAATTTACGAGAGCAGCAGACCTCGCATGACGGGCAGAACGTAAAGACTAAAAATTGGAGGTAAAGCAGTAATGAAAACAGGAGAGGATTCAATTTCACATCTCCATTATCTTCCGAAACTATCGGACTTAACTACAGCACAACACAACTGCGGCAATGACAGTTCCATTATCTCATCGTATCTCGTTTGGGCTAAACTCGGTGAAGACGCCCAGGAAAAATCAGCAAAAAGAGTAAATACGAATTTAGTCCAAGACACCTTATTTGAGGTCTTGGTTTAGTAAGGTAAGGTTTAAAAGCTCACGGTCATTAGGTTTGTTCCTTTGATATGACAACTTGAATTCGTGAGAAAAATCCCGGGGTGCTTTTTACATACCTAAAACGGCATAAAAGTCGAAAAGGAGAATGTTCACTGCATTCAGACATCATCTACATGGTTTCCTTCATTCACTTCGCGTTAATTCATTTCTTTTTTAGACTGAGGACTTGCGTCTGACATAGGCCCGTAGTAAACCCCCCTTCAGTGGATCTGCCCTGAGACGGACCTGAGTTGATCGTATGGCTTCTCGGTCTAGCATCTCGCGAGCTATTGATCTAGATGCGGATCGCTTTTCAGGTATGAAAATCTTGCGCGCTATCACCTCTTGTGCAGGTATGTGACTGATACTCACAAGGGAATGGTCAGAAATCGAAGTGGCCAATCCAGACAAGCTGCATACCATTAAATGCAGCATGAAGCGGTGACTCTAGATCTCTCTTCCTTACCTGTTTATCGCTTTTCTGGACGAAGCTATAAGCCATTAAAGACCATTATTTTGCTAAGAAATTATGCGTGAAATTAAATATTTAGCCGTACAGAGCCACGTTCGCTGTGCCGAAACATGCAGCTAGCTTACTTCAAATTCTTGAAGCCAGAATCTGAGCTAGAAGTGCAACAATGTGCTCAATTTCGCTGCTTTATGTATGATTTTTTTCACAATGAAACCGCTTGCAGCTTCGTCCACAGAAGCGATAAGCAGATAAGGAAGACAGATTCGAAGTCAGCGTTTTCTGCTGCATCGAATGATATACAGCTTGTTTGGTTTGGCCACTTCGACTTCTGACCATTCCCTTGTCAGCCCGCACGACCGTGGTTTGGCGCCGGACAGTGGCGAATTTTTGCGCATTACTGAGCAATCTTTGATAGCGGCCACTATCGAAGAAAATCGATGACGGCCGCTATCAAGGAATCCACAAACCAAATGAATACACAAAACAAGACTGCGTTTTTTTAACCAAAATTTCATCAAAAATTGAGGAAGTAGGGACAAAATCGAATGGAAACAAGTAAAGAGATTGTCGCTCTGAGTAGCTTTTGTAGAAAAAACCTAAGCAAACTCTGCAAAAAAGACCTATTCTTCTGTTTTTGCCGAAATCAGCTAATCATTGATCCTTTCCTTTTTTGGGCACCGGTATTGTGCAGTTTTGCGCGTTCTTGTACTGCAACAACACGTCAAGTACGATGTTCCGTAAGTTACTCACGAGCAACTTACGGGATTTTTCTCTGCGTATCATCCCTTGGGTACTATTTCGATCAATTCATCTCAAAATCGAGGCTGCTCTTACGGATTTCAGGTGAATTCATCGCGGCGCATGCCCTGACGCTAACCCTTCAAATCTGGTCGCATTCTTAAGCATGTGAGAGTGACCGCTAGTCAGTTTATCTTAAATACCTTAACTCAGCCCCTCAGTTGAGATCATCTGAAGTAAATTGGGGTTTACTACGGGCCATAAAATGTGAAACGAAAAAACGGAACTGAATCTTTCTAATGTAATTGCACAAGGGTGGGAACGTAACAAGCTGTAAGCAGCGAATTGCGACGGCTGATCTTCAGTCACACATACAAGGGGCTTATCGAACAAATGCCTTTTTTTTCTAGCACTTTCTATAACACAATTCCACCATGAATCAGCGCAGGAAAAGACTAATGAGAGATGCACAGACGCATATTTTCACGTAAGGTCGACAGTATTGATGACCGTAGATGCGCAAAAAAGCGCTTGTATCACTTCATTCATCCTACGGAAGTGAGAAGCTTTAACAAGTAATACCCCTGGCATCAGTCGCAAGCAATTTAATATCTACGAAAGTTATATGTTTGTGGACTGCCAGTGTTATATTTGAAGGTATGTGGAAATTTGCCAGACCGCTGGTAACCGAAATCGCATGGAGTATGCCCGGCGCTTAAGGGTAAGTGCGATATGTATGCTAGTCTATCTGTTAGAAATGATTAATTAAACGCTGCAAGGTTCAGCTTCTCTACAGTCTCTGTACCAGAGGGTTATTCAGGATATTGATGGCTCAAAACTTGATTTTGCCCCAACTCCCTTCCGGGGTGCTAAATCAGGTATGCTTCAAAAATCTGTACCGATATTGAAGATTCGCCTGCTCTTACGTGCTTCAAAACTTACGGACAAGTTCAAATTGAGCACTAACAAATCAGCCAAGGGCGTCTCGAATATACTGCCCGCCCCTTGAGGCAAAAGATGTCGTACTGCCAGACAATCTACCTTCCAAAGCAATTCCCTACCCGCTGCAGCTTTACTAGCAAAACGAAGAAACAAGTCTGGAAGTTCTATATCATAAAAAAGTTCAACCATTTCCACATCTGAAGAAAATGCTCCGGAATCGGTTTTACGCGCGTATGAATGGCATCTGCAGCAGTAAATTAGGCCATATTACTTACTATTTCTTATAAGTTCTCTAAGAATCGTCCTGCTAAAAAAGGTTTTGATGAAATTTGTCGTCACTGCTATTAAATAAAAAACAACTTGCATCTTGTTCAGCACAGTGTCTCACAGAAAGACTTTAAACATCATTTGTATAACAAAACGCTTAATCTACCACACTGCTTTACTTTGATTAGCACACCTACTGTAGCGTGATTTTCAGGCAAAAACAGCGAAAATGTCTTCGTCTCTATCATCTGCTGAAAATGTTGCCGATTCAGTGATTGTCGCAACGGTATGTTACCCTTGCTTCTACAGAGTAATGTAATTTCCAGAATTGTCCTTTTACCAACACCATTCCACATAGATTTTCAATTTTAGAGCATTCTGTTCTAGAGCCAGCTTAGCATAAGCATTTACCTAACATTTCATTGTTCAAAGGTATACTTGAGCTGTCAAAAGTATAGCCATTGCCTTCCTATATCTTTGCGCAAGAACTACAGCTTTTGCTGCTGCCTCAACTTTGTTGTGCATAGTGCGACTTCTGCATCCCTTTTTATCATGGATAATGTTCGGCTTTGAAGGTTTGTTCTTGCAATAGATAGTCACAACTTCTGTAAATACACTGTGACATACATTGTGTTAACCCGCATCACCTGTACCGACGTTGATCGTCGCTTGACAAGAGCGGGCACTGACTCCATTCATTCATCTTGGGAAAGTGTTGACTAACGCTTTGTTGCACCAGAAACGTCCTTGAAACCTTCGGAAGAATGCCATTAGAGGACTTCTTGAACACGTATGTCCATTAAGTTGGCGGTTTTACTTACTTTGGGTATTTGGATATTCTGTCGTTAACAGTCTGCCACCGATTTTCGGCAAAGCTCATTTGTGTCCTGCTTCTCCCGCCCCTCTTATTCCGTTTAGAGACTACAGCGTCGGTGTTTTCGATTTCTAGGATAGGGTAAATCGCACTATTTCTTTTTTGCACTTGCCTTATTCTGGTCACACCTCGACTACTCCTTGAACAGCACATGCGTTGACGCTTACCTGGTACCCTGCGCTCTAGGCCCTGGGTTTTCAAACTAGCGGCAGCTGCGAGTTTGTATTGTATTTTGTAGCTAGAGAATTTTTTGAAGCTATTATGTCGCACAACTTTTCTCAACCCTTTAACGCTATCTCAGAAACTCCGCTTTTCTTAGTAGATTCTGAACAAAAAAGTTTTTTTGGGGTCGAATCTACTCGCATTTCATTTCAATTATATGTTGGAATGGGCATTCATGAAGATGAAAGAATATACAAGGAATTAGAAAAGAAGAGCTTGCAAGGGAATGGTCAGAAGTCGAAGTGGCCAATCCATACAAGCTGCATACCATTAGATGCAGCATAAAACGCTGACTCTAAATCTGTTTTCCTTATCTGCAGAGCGCCTTTGTTGACGAAATTATAAGCTGTCGAAGGCCATTATTTTGTTAAGAAATTGTGCATGTAAAGTACAACCTGGTCGTACGAAGCCATTCTCTGCTTAGTGTTGGACAAACATGCAATTAGGTCACTTCACATGACCCGTACCTAGAGGTGAGCTGAAAGACCAATAATGTGGCCAACTTCGCAATTTTTGAGTGCGATTTTTTTGCAGTAAAGCTGCTCATAACTTCGCCTACAAAGGCGCTCTGCAAATATGAAAACAGATTTGAAATCAGCACATCATGCTGCATCGAATGGTATGCAGCTTGTTTGGATTGGCTACTTCGACTTCTGACCATTCCCTCGTTAGATGCTTTTTATGGTAAACGATTCCATTGAACCATCGATAAGGGCAAAAAGTTGCATAAATCGAGTTTCAAACTGATGAAAACCTGGAGAAACAGCAAAGAAACTTGTCTCTTGTCGATTTACAGGTTTTTAGGTTTGGTGACCACAATAAAACAAAAAAGCGCCTTAGGATTTGTATGTATCAGAAGCCAAAGACTTTCCAAACTCCCTGCCTTGCGATAATGCCCTATAAAGGTCGAGCGTACATCATCCAAATTCATCGCCTCGCGATTTATTCGAAATGACAGCTGCTACGAGTCCATCTCATGCCGATCATCTTGCATTTTGGTTGTAATAGACTTTCGCGATTTGTCGTGGAGGAAAACTACCACAACCGAAGTGCAGGATGACCGCCATGCGATGGACTGCAAGATGGTCGACCCGTAACAGCTGTCATGTCGTATGAATTGCGAGGTGATGAAAGCGCGTGACGTATGCTTGGCCCAGTAGCCTTCTGTGACCGGTTAGAGAAGTAGTTGTAAATGTCTTGATGTACTGAGTAGAAATGCCTCGATTGTCCAAAGCATCAATAAAAGCTTCAGCCCCAACCAAGCCAAAAGCCTTCTTCAAATCAAAAAGGTGATGTAGAAATCACCATGTTTTTTCGCTATAATTTGTAACTCTTGACACGGTGTGCTCCATCTTGTGATCTTTTCATGATTTTTAGCCTTAGTTCAAATTTCCTCATACGCGAATGCACTATAAGTGTAGACAAGGCATTTTTGGCACAGTTTTAATTCCGCGCTGTACGAAATCGTGCAGGAACATGTAGGCAGCTGTAAGCAGCGATAAAATGGCGGCCCCTCAGATAATCGCCGAGGGCAGGCGGCCTTGCGATTTTTGGGCAGGCGGGCACCGGAAAAATAATCGCTGATTTCTTGCAGTCTGTTGCAAATATTTGGAACAAATATGGCGAAATTCTAAACGAATGCACGGAGAACAAATGCAGCTTCTTCATGGATTAGTTGCGGCGCCGTGGCCGCTTTCTCGCGCACTTCCCGCGAGAATGTGCACAATTATTGAGAGCCGCACGGTTCTTATGAAAGACCGCACAGCCTCAGGCACCTTCCGCTAGAAAGTACCCCAAACTCGGGTAATTAAACCGTTGACGACACCTTTGCCGCACAGAGCCTCACCTTTGCTTGGCGCCCGAAAATGCGTAAAAAGAGTCCGAGCGTCTGCTGAAAGTTTGGCCAACGTTCGCTGAGAGAGATTGTTTGAAGAACGCTTGCAGAGACTGCTGCCCGCTGACAGAACACGGAAGTCCCGCTTGCTGAAGGTCTGGCCACTCCCCAAAAGTGCGAGTTTGCAGCGCTGCCCTGGCGATTATCTGAGCCCGTTAGAACTCGGCACGAGTGGCTTACCGAGCAGGTTTTGGATATCGCTTTGATTGTAAAAGCAAGATTTTGTATTGCTGTCCTGCGCAAAGCTCCAAAAAAAACGCCTGTGTCAACCTAGTATAATGTATACGAAAGAAATGCGAATACAGAAGAAGTCACACAGAATGTACAGTCTTGTACACTGGTCTTAAAAGAGTTTAGGTAAAATTGAGGAAAATTTATTTCAACTGCAAATCACCACAAACGAATAATCATTGGAAACCGAGTATTAAGAGGCTACAATATTTTTTCTAAGTACTTGCAAAACCCACGGATCTCCCTCAACGAGGGATCACAGCCGGTTAGTCGCGGCTAATAGGCTACGCCCAGGTGGTGGACAAGGGGATAATCGCAGCCCAAAAGCGACCCTGGGCCTGCTCTGATAAGCAAGCGAAGCTGGGGGATAAACTTTGTTTCCATTGAAAGTTTCCATTCTAATTTTTCGGGTAGGTGTATGGAGAGTAGGGTTAGAGTCGCCTCCAACAAATTAGCTCCGATCGTCCCTCGCGGAAGCTTCAAGCCCGACAAGCTATCCCTGCGAGTAAAATAATTGTTCGACAAAGTGAAAATGTGGAAAATTCCCTTAACTTTGGAATAGAAACTGGTAAGACAGTGACAATGGGGACAAGGTTTGAAAGGTGATCTAGATTGCCAAGAACGAGATGGACAATGATGACGATATAAACTTACAACGCAAGGACGAGCATCAGACGCATCTATCGAAGACCTTATAATGAAAGCAAGGAAGATCGAGTACGAAGTCTCTATGAACTTCGCAATTCAAGTTGATGAAGGTGAGGAGAGCGGCATCTTATACTCTCGTGACCGAAACGATAATCTTCCCCATAATCATCAGAGCAGTTAGGGTTCCGTCAGGACACGAAGTGCGGTCATCTTTGTCTCAAACTTGACGAAGCTTCGGCGGGCGTTGCGTATACTTCTTCCGGCCTCCGCGGCGTCAACCATCACTGCTACTCTTCCCTTCTTAAGGTCTTCTTTTATCGCTTCTCTGCATCGCTTCGCAAGCTCGTACGTCAGTTGGTAACTGCCTGTGGCTCGTGCATGTCCACGTTGGGAAATCAGCTCCATAGTCTCCGGGCTAAGACGCCTTTGGCACTTTTTAGATTCTGAGCTCCCTTAGCACACAGTGGAAACTGTTGTACAAACCGTTCGTATTTTTCGTTTTTGTTTTCGACCACGGTGTTTTGCCAAGAACCGCATATCGAAGAAAACAGATCTAAATTGATAGTCTCCATTCCCTGGAAAAGGAATTTAGCACGTAGAAAGCAATGGTCTGATTCGTTGTAGAACTTCGGAACAACAGCGACGTCCGTCAGGCAATACCTTGACGATAGTGTGGTCAATCTCGTTGATACTCTCTACCGGGCCCCCAGGTCCAGCGTCGGGAAGGGGCTTTTGAATCTGTTTTCCATGGATAATCATTGTCGTCATGATAAACTCGGACAATCTCTTCCCTTGTTTGTTCCACTGTAAACCACAAACTCCGATGTGGAGTTCCGCAGTCGACCTTTTAGCTCCGATTTGTCATTGAAGTCACCGACGATGATCTTGTAAAAAGTGTGATCTTTTCTGTGAAACTTCTTCAAATCCATATGAAAATGCCAGCTCGTCCTTGTTGTAGCTGGACGTTGGGGCTATGTACGAAGACGGTCAGACCAGGGATTGATCCATATCTTGATATTCGCAAATGTCCGATTCCGGTTTTGAGTTGTTTGAAAGAATCCATGATCATGGAATTAGATCATTGGAAAAGCTGAAACTGATTCTTATATGAAACCAGCTGGCTTACCCGGCTCCACCGCCCCTGTTAAACACTATGGTAAAGCTCTCATCCGTATCCCTGTCCAACCTTTTCTTGTGCCCACGTCTACATATAGAAAAAACAAAAGGAAAGAAGACAAGGACCAAAAACTATTTATATGGAAAAGTGTTGATTAGAATAAAAAACTAAAAAAAAGGAACATCCGTTTCGTTCCTACCCTTAGATGGATCCAAATTGTTAATGAGCCCTCCCCGGAACTCATCAATAAGGAGGGAGGGCTTTGGTTAGTAAAATAATAATAACAAACTCACTTTATCCTTGTCCAGTCGAAGCATCCATTGTCGGTGGCAAAGGGACGAAGATGACAGAAATCGCATTTCGTACCAACTGCCTGCAAATAAAATGCAAGTTACTACTCAGCCAGCTATACTCAGCCAAGTTTTGGCGCGTCATAAAAAGTGATTTCTACACAGCCAAATGTTGCGTCATTGTTGGATTGGAGCAGAGCATCGATCAATACTGACATTGACCTCCAAAAAGCCATCTCCCTATCTCGCTATTTTAGAAATCAGCATGCCCACTTATCTGTGCCAATCCCCAGCCCCGTAGCTCAAACTTTGCAAAAAAATCGATGTAATCGATAAAAAAAGCGAAAAATTTCAAAGCTAATATTGTATGTGTAATCAGCATGCTTGATTACCCTCTCGTGCCAACTCGCAGCCTAATAGCTCAAACTTTGCAAAAAAATCGATAAAATCGATAAAACTGATGGGTAATTCTAAAAACAAGATTGTATTCTCAGCATGCTCGATTACCCCCCACCCCTCGTGCCAATCCCACCCCGTAGGTGAACTCTGCAAAAAAATCGATAAAAATCGATAAAAGATATCGATCAATGACGAAAAGTAGCCTATGACACCCGCCCCGCCCCGAAGTGTATGTATGCCAAGCAGGGTCAAGCGTGTGATGTGACTGTCGCAATGGGGGGTCTTAAGCGGGGTAACGGTGGGAGGGGGGCGGGGGGGGGGCTCGTAAAAGAAGGCAGTTTGAATAAAAAGCCGTAAGCATGGAAGGAAATCGAATGGCAAATAATTATTACATGTTCTTAACAATAAATTCATGGAATGCCGTGTACCAATGTATCAAATAAAAACGAGTGAGCAGTAGTTTGAAAACATTTGCAAACGTAGAAATTTGCTTCATTTGCTGCACTTTTCAAAGATTATGACTTAGTTCATTTTTTTATAGGAATCACTATTTTCCGCAAAATATTTTCGCAAACGGGGATCGAACTCTGCTGGCATAACTAAAATAAAAAAAATAAAAACTATTAGAAGCTCAAATGCTACTAAAGGCATGTATGTGTGATAAAGATATTGGATGTACCGATTGGTGTAGAGATCTTGCTTCCGAAGGCCCACTGAAGAATTGCACACTCGACAAAAGCGCATATCTCTATCAACGCTAATCATCAATAATTTGTAAATCTGTTTGTAATGCTTTTCATACGGTCCTTACAATTTACTTGTACTTTAAAGGTGCTCTACTACATTAGTGCAAAATTTGGTCCTACTTTATAGCCTTCGAATTTTCTTATGATTTTATGTATGGTGGCAAAAAATGACAAAAGGAGGTCGTATCTAGGTCGCATCTAAATTTTTCCGGAGCCACTGAAGCTTGTCGGCAGCAATTTAGCTGTAATACGAGGCCATCCTCGTACTTTCTATCCTAAAAATTTCAGGCCGTTTCATAACTTCTCCGATGAGTTACAAAATTTCAAGTTTGAAAATTCCAGTTTTTGATTTTTAGGATCGCATCTAAATTTGCGAGAGTCGCATCTAAATTTTTTCGAGCTAACTGCTCCTCAAGGGCTGAAACTTTTTCTATGGATAGTCTGGGCACTTGCTACAAAACCTGTTCATTGCAGCCTCTCAGTCTTTTCCTGGCCTTAGTTGCGAATTTTCAAGCTACCGTGCTCATGCACGTTTTTGACATCGTTCTGGACGGCGCTCAAGCGGTTTTTTTCGCGGGAAAAACTGTGCAAGAGATAGAAAGTAAGCTTTTTGGTCGAAAACATCTTTTATAGTTCAGGAATGTCATTTTTTTCTCCGTGTAAAAATTTGTGTCGCCTACGGGAATCGAATTTACTGGTCTGAAGTATGCCTGAAAATTCAAAAAAACTTGCAGAATCTCAAACATTATTGAAGGTGTGTGTGTGCAATAGATGCTGGGCGCATCCACTGGTTTAGAAATTCTGCTTCCGAAACCTCACTGAAGTTCTCAAGCAGGTGTTTTTTGAGATTGACATTCATTTATGCAGGTTACCGCGAGGAATGTGGGCAGGGGAGGTAAGGAGGATAAATGGGGGAGGATGGGGGAGGGGGTCGTACGGATGGGTACCTTCAAGGGGGGGGGGGGGTCGTAAATGAGGGTCCCCGATCTCATCAACACGCTTGACCCTGGATGGAGATGCCGGTGCAAACGACACTCAATTTGATAAGCCCTATACATATTGTAGTTGTCCGTTGATTCTTCGGCAGCCTAGATGCAGTTCAAGTGTCAATGCTGATGCCTTACCATTAGCTTTTTCGAGACTAAAAGCAGCTTCCCACGCAGATATGATGTTCATTGCTACTATCATCAGGTACCGAGACAATGAACTAGAAATACGGAGCAAGCCGGTCTCCTTAGTACTTCTGAAAGAAAGTCGGCACGCAAGTCACTGAGCCGTGGACCGTCCACTCTATTGTCCTTCTTCAAGCAAAAAACGTTTCTGGCCTTCATCACCGTCAACTGGAGAAGCTCCATGCAGCCTTCAGGCTGACAGACTGGAACCTTCATAAGGAAGACCCGCGAATTCGAATGTTGTGTAGCATCAATAATATGAACACATAAACTGCTTGCAAATTCTTTCTTACCAATTTCATATAAGAAACATTTTAAAAGCAGTAAAAGGTCATGTATGTTTCGGAACATGCATCAAACCAATATTTCAGATGAGCACACTTGGAACATTCTCAAATTTCCTCGCAAGCATAACTATACTGTGCAACCCGGTTCGAAAAAATCCCTTTTGCACATTATGTTTATCCCATACTATGGCCAGTCTAGGAGTATCGCTTGCCTTTTTTTATGTAACATCAATAACGCTTAGGTAAGTGCCACTTGTCTTTAGTGAAAGCAATTCAATGAGATTTTGAAGGCAAGCGGAACTCTCCACTCCCCTCATCGAGAAGATTATGGGGCAGTTTACTATGTTTTTTTGGAATGCAACCGTTCTCTCTCATTTGGCTATATCACTGAACCGCGTAGTAGCGATTGCTTCACCATTTAAAGCAATTCAGTTGTTTACAAGAAAAAGAACGATGTATATGGTACTTTCTATTTGGTGCCTCGCCTTCTGCCAAACTGTCCCTTTTTTCTGGAGTAAGTATGCTTACTTCGAAATTAAGCAAAAGTAACAGCAACAGTAACATGCAGGGGCCTCTTGTTACATATACTACGACCGCAGCAAGTGGAAGTGGAGGTTTTCTGATGGTCTATGCGGCAAGTTTTTCCTTCACTGCGAGAGAAGCAAGATACTTATTTTGATCATCACACTGATCTCAGATGTCGTTGCATTGGTCAAATACATCAAATACATCAAGGTTTCTCCTTGTCTGTTTTTTTTGATATTTTAAAGTCGGCTTACATCTAATTAAGATTACATCGGAAAGCACCATATTCATGAATAATGAAGCTCAGAAGAAACTTCGTATAGAGGTCAAATTCTTCAAACAGGTATTTAAGTTACAATATTTTTCGAACTTCAACTAGTCTTCCAATAATTGCTTTCCGTCCGACTGAACAGTGACGAGGTTTTTAGACGCTCTGCCAGAATGGAATATTTCTGATAGCTTTTGTCGATTATCATTTTATGACTCCATTGTTTACTAATCAGTGGTTGATGATTATGAATACCACGTTTGTCTGGTTGCTATTACATGCTCTAGACGGGTAAGTTCTTTTTTTTCTTGTTACTCATGAAAACTTTAGGCAAAATTGAGCATCGGCACGGCTGGCTCTCAAAAAAACGTGAGAAAGCGAGGATGTTTTATATGTTTGAAGATTCTCTGGCCTCGGATACTCCCATCAGGATTTTGATACGCTATTTGATTCACTGTGCTCACCAAACCTCCACCAATTAATGCAAAAATATTGGTTCCATCAGAAAGTTCATGTCGTTTTTCGTACTTATCTTCAAATCATTCAGAATAAGGATAGACATATGTTTTAGAACGTTCGATGCAGATCTTCCTCTTTCTAGAGGTGACGTTTTTGTTCCGATTCCTTGATGATCTCTCCAATAATTGTCGATAACTCCCTAGATCTGGCTAGTTTTCAAAATCTTTTCAGATCTTTGGAAAGAGTTCCGATGACAGTAAAAAAGAGTAAATAAGTGCAACACAGTAAACTTCCTGAGCTTCTCAAACTGGTTTTCCCAACTCTTATAAAATGATTTCCCAGAAAGTCCTTACTTTTGCAAAATCGAACAAAAACGCAAACTTCAAACATTGATTTTCTCAATTTAGAACTTCTAAAAACTGGTTATGATCAACGCTAATTCTACAAAGCAACTGACTGCTTATCCTTTGAGATATTTTGTTTTGAGTTCCCCGGATACAACCTGGGACATATTCAAAAAACAAGAATCATGATGATCCATCCGCAGGCTTTACAAATCGGAAAGCAAAAATTCTATTGGGGAGAGAAAAAAAAGATTTAATCAACAACGCATCAGATGCTCGCCGTTTGCTAGTCTGAGAGACTCGGAATGCCCAAGCATGAAAATTGAAATCATCTGAAATTGAAATCAAACAGTTTTAACAATTTTCAAAAGCCGGCTATAGATGCCATATAAAATTTTACTTTGCTTACTCTGTCAAATTGCCATCAAATCTCTTACAAATTTTGAGAGGTGTATTATAAAAAAAACGAGAATAGGGTAGGTAAAAAATCATTTGAAGATTCCGACAATCATTTGAGAGATCACTAAGGACTTGAGCAATAACATTACTGCTAAAAAAAGATGTAGAAATTCTACATCGGACCCTTTTGAAAGCGCTTGAGTGACAAGCGGAAGCCGGCCTCTTTGTAGAACAATTGGCTGCTAGAACCATCAATCCAATTGCCACAAGACGGGTGGCGAGTCCCCACCCGTCCCCCTCCACGAGCCAATCGCTCTCTGAAAGGCGGGGTTCGTTTCCCACCCATACTGCAATTTCCACGCCCGAAAAAGCGAGTTATTAATGTTTTAAGCACAGCTTTGGACTCAGCTCATTTAGGGGATCGGGAACGATAAATAGTTTAAAATTGCCGAGCCACTGCCTTCAAGCTCTCACGTTCATTCATGCTGTTTAAAAGATTCCGCTTTTTTCCAACAAATTGCAAGGCAGGTGAGAGGAAAAAATTTTGCAGGTGTACTTTTTCAGGAAAGAGCATAAATATTAGGTTGTCGGATAATTTGTGTTACTCTTGTTTTCTATTGTTTCTAGAAAATTCCAAAAGTTTCTTGAAAACCCCAGATTTCTGACGCGCTTGAGACATAGCAGGGTCTAGTCACCAGCATGATTGATGCCGCAGGTGCACTAATGACCAACAAGTTTATGTCAGTTTTGTAAAAGCACTCAATTTCAATTTTTGTCTTATTTTTTCTCTGCACCTACCTGTGCTTTTCCTCTTTTAGAATTTTTTTCTGAAACATACGGCATTGCCTCTCAAAGAGAGGCATTCCGATGCCTCTAGCGTTGCAAAGCGAGAGGTGGAGAAAATATCGAATAAACTCAAATTTCTTAAATTCTTCTTTTTATGTGCATTGTGTAGAAATGAATACAATAACTTAAAAATGATTTTTTGAAATTTTTTGACAACGCCCTTCGTTAGAATTTCGATAATTGCAAAGACGGTGCACACTGCCATTTGGACCACTCAGCAAAATGTGTGTAAACATGAATGTGTTATCCCCCTAATTGCTAAACGCTACAGACTATGCTCTAGCTGATACCACATTGCCTGGTCACTCGCTCATCACCTGAAAAAATGCCAGCTCATTTACAAAAATGGGAACAAATGGATTTTCAGCTATATGGGTATTTTGCGCACGGATCGCAGATGCGACGGTACCGATGTATAGGCCTTCTGCCCCCATATGCTGTGAACACGATATCTTTCCAGAGCTTCTGAGATTCTCAATAATCAAAATAAAATGTGTAACAGAAATTCTTCAAAAATTTAATAATGAACTTGATTCTACGAAAGCGAATATGAAAACTAGAAAAAAGAGCTTTCAAATTATCTGCAAAAGTCTCTGTGATAGATGTTTCCTGTTTGAAATCAACATTTTCATATAAGTGCGAAAGGCGTGTTGTGTTCCTACCCCAATAATAAAGTGAGAAAATCTTGAAAAAAAGAATATTGCTGCTTTTTGATTCTATACTCTAGGTATGGTGAGCATAGCAGAAAGGGCGTCACAAACGATCGGTACTGCTGAGGTTAGAGGCTCATCAAAAACTATGTGTATACTTCCTCTCAGTGCTCTATTGTTTACCAGTTCACCCCGGTACTATCAATTTTTTGCCCTACCTAAGCGGCTGAAATTTTTATCATTGTATGGGAGGACAACAGATGAATAATAATGAATCAAATTAGGCTTTTCAAGCATAAAAAAGCTTTGATTCAAGTACGAAAAAATTATGAAATTGTGATGAAAAGCGAGCATACTTTGAGCAACTAAAATTGGTGTCATACTGTACTATTAAGGTCTTTGCAAAAAATAACAATTCTTGGTCTTTCTAACTATAAACTGTCAAGGCGGTGGAACCTTTACCTAATCTAATCACCGTCAGTAGCCATCCTAATCTTTGTCTCCCCTTATGCGAAAAGTAGGGAGAAAATCGTCTTTTTATTGCCTCTCGTCAGCTCTGTTATTCCCTGGCTTTTTATTCAGCCATCGTTCGCTACTGCAAAGTGTCAATTTCGTGTGTACGCAACTTTTTTTCGAACTTGCTAGAACCGCTTTCAAGCTGTGTAGCAAGAACCCTGTGCAAAGATAAAATGGCAAATATCCATCAAGCTATACCAAGACTGCGCGACATGCCCAAGAGTTACGATGGTTCTACTCTCTTATCTTTGTCGGTCAAGCACTGGTTCAGAAGGGCCGTCTCCCAGCACTGGCGGTTCTTGGCGCACGTTGGGCAGTCTGTACCTCTCTTTCTTTCATCAACTCATGCTTGTACGTGTTTCAAGTTGGTCATTTTCAGGCTTGTCATATTATTATTCAACTTTAAAGCTTCTAAACTGAATGCGATGATTAAGAAGCTTGCATTTGCTTTGTCCAATATTATGGACTAGCTCACTGTAAGTTATTATATTATGATATATACGAATGGAAATGAAAGTTGGCATCTGCAATGTCCTCCGCCAGTTTTGGGAGAACACGTTCCAAATTATGAATGAAGGGGATGTTGATGCGAGCCATACTCTACAGAGTATCAAGCGCTAGCAAGGTTAAAAAGATTTGTAACAGGCTGACTACCAACGTAGATCTAAAAGTTTTCACACTGATCAACTAAGCAGCATTACAAATGCCATTTGCATAAGTGTTGTTTGAATATTATTCTACCAGCGCTTTGCTACCGTTTTCATACGTTCTTCTAAGAGTTTGCAGTTGGAAATTGGACAAACTTTCTCAGAATCCGTACTAGTGCTGCTACAGTCAATGCCAACCACGTGCTCCCTTTTCCGGAGCAACTACGCATCCGCAGCGTGTGGGCATTGCGTAGCATCTGCCGATCGATGCGGCTAATTTGGACGCTGAAACGGCGCGAACGCGTACGCGGCACGGGGCTTTAGCGCTGCGCTTGAGCTGATTAAAAATACGTCGCATGGCTTACCCGTTGAAAGGGCTCTCTAAAGCTTTTTCTAGTCGTGCTAAAAATGCACAGTCTCCTTTTTTATATAGGAAAGGCAAACTATTCGCAGATAGCCATTTTCGGTGCAGAATTTCGAACCAGAAATCACGTTTTCTTTTATAATTTTACAAGAAGGGTATAGGCAAGGTGCATGCCATAGCTAAAGCTTAAAAATGCTTTGGTAAGAGGCAAATCCACATGCTGGTTGTGGTAAGAGAAGAAATGCTATGTTTCTCAATGCTGAGGCTATATGATTCGTTTCAATGAGTTGGTACTATTGAGCTATAAGGGATTAGGTGGCTGTCTCCTCACCGGTTGCGGTACAAGTATCTTCGACAGAATCACATCTACTAATGTGGTGTGATTCAAACTTCAAACATACACGAAGCGACAAACTGTGCACTTGAGCACTTATAACTATGTCTTGCATGGGGTTTATTTAGGCTTTAGATGAAAGATATTGCGTTTACCAAAATTGGAGCACGCAACCAGTTTTCGTTGCTTCAATCAAGGGGTAGGGGAGAGGGGTGCCATTTTCAGCCGCCTCCGCAAAAGTGGTTCTTTTGCGAAGCGCTGAATGTCGTTTGACGACCCGTAGTCCGCAATACCCCCAAAAATTGCAGAGTTAGTTCTCCAACCCGCAGAACTCGAGGTTTGAGGCTCAAAAAAAGGTCAACATTATACTTGGAATAGGTGAGAAACCTCAACAGATACATGATTTGAGTCCTGAACAAAACCTATAGAAACTTGATGAACCTCAAAACCTTCGCAAAAGTTTGATAAATTTTGAGCCAGTTAATTCTAAAGCATTTTGAGCGATGGAAGATGAGTCCATTCTTTTTTAAAACTGCAGTAAGTCCAACGTGC